CATATTACTTCCCTGCTCGAAATACTTCTTGTTCCAACCTGCATTTCTAAACTTAAAGGTTTTGTGCATTCCATGAGATGTTTTTCACTGTTCCCTGAGCATACTTGAAATTTCTCTCTGCCATGTCATTATCCCCTCCCTTCTTTTTCTAGCAGTTGAAACTACATCCATCTAAATTTACCACAAACAGCATTCATCAAATCATGTGATCTTTCCTTCCTTTGAATCACACCCACTAAGTTTTCTTAATGATGGAAGGGTCCGTCCTTCCTTCCTTCCTTCCTTCTTTCCTTCCTTCCTTCCTTCCTTCCTTCCTTCCTTCCTTCCTTCCTTCCTTCCTTCCCTCCTTTTATTTCAGACAAAGTCTTACTATGTTGCAATCGTCCTGCCTCAGCCCTTCGAGTAGCTGGGACATGGGCACACCATCACACCTGATTTTTAGGGTGGGCAAGCAGTGCTCCCTAGGTCTCCCATGTGGTCTTAGCCAGCTGAATACCAGTGGCAACCAGCTTTCACTACTGCCTGACTGGGCCCCCACTCATTTCGTTTTTCTTTTTAAATTTTGCCATAGAGCACGTGTGCTCACCAGAGAGACAGAGAGAGAGGCAAAGAGAGAAAGCATCCATCAGGGGAATTGCCCACAGCATAATCCCTTCTCTTTCATGTGCCTGAGGATTTTAGGCATGCATGCAGGTGCATCTGGCACGTTTTTCAAACCACCAGGTCTGGAACTCAAACTGTGCAGTAAGCCATCTGGGATCCAGCCACTTTAACCACTACACTACCAGCTGGCCCCCAAATTTAAGTTATTTGTCTGTCACCACTTCATTACCCACAACAGCACAAGGCCTTGAGGAAAAGTGCTCAATAAATGTTGAATCTTGGCGTCAATGAAGTATATCCAATCACCAATTTTTGTATAATACCAATTTCTTTTATTATGCCATGCACTTTTTTCATAATTTAGTATCAGTGAAATCAAGTTTCAACTTATCATTGCTAGCATGGTATGATTTAATTAGTAGCATTTTTTTCCCCACAAGTGATACATAAAATGTGGGTACATTTTACATCTGATGATGTCTTATATTCAGTGAAATAAAGTATCTTTCAAGCATCCCTGATAACATTTGTGTTTGTCCTCTGTCTTCCTGTCTCTAAGATGAATCATTCTGTGTTCTCAACATTTCTTTAATTCCTCTTTTTTCTTCTACCGTTGTTGTTTTCTTCATTTTAACTCCTTTAATTTTCTACTCTTTTGGAATGAATTCATTTATACTGCACATAAGGCAGTACTAAATACAGTGGTGTCATTGTATCATAATCCTTATGATAAAAACACAGTTTATGATTCTAAACATGTTCGCTACAGAATATATATACACTAGCAAAAATACATCTTTATTTGTATTAAGTTGTGAACAGGCAACCATGTTATCTGAGCCACATTATGAAGACAGTGTAGTCAGGAGTAGAGTTTAAATTGAAAAAGTAAAGGGAGGAAAAAAGCAACATAATATATTTAATGACAATGTAGTTATCATTCTTTGAGCAGCGCTGTGGGCCAGGAGACTCTCTAGACATGTAGGTTTTCTAAACAAGTCAAGATGTGCTGTACCATCTAATTACCCTTGTTTACACACTTATTCTTCATTGCTCTATGAGGCTGAAAATCCAGTGGTCTTGAGTCAAAGAACTCCATGGAGGAGTTGTTGTTCTCATAGCTCTGGAATGGTGGGGACCTGCCATGAGCCCTAGTCTTAACGTAAAGAGCTGGTCTTTGATCTCTTCCCACAGCTTGAAACCCAGCCTAAAAGGATGAACTGCTCCACAAACCCTATACTCCACAATTCCAAACTTTTCTCTCTCAAAGCATTTACTCAGACTGATCCTTCACGTAAATCAGTATTGTTTAATAGAATTTTCTGCCATCGTGGAAATGGTCCATAGATCTGCATTGTCCAATACAGTAGCCACTAGCCTCTACAGCTATTGATCAGAGAACTGGAAGTGTGGCCAGTGTAACTGAGAAACTGAGTTTTCAGTTTTATTGAACTTTAATTGAAGTTTAATAAATGTTGACCAGTGGCCACCATGGTAAACAGCACAAGTCCGGCATGTACTGTGCCTCATTTCTTTTCCAAATCTTTGACCTTCAAGAGACATTTCAGAGGCTGCTTTCTCTGTGAGATTCAGTCTTCCAGTTAGGACACTTACTTTCCTTCTTTGGAATTCCCATCACTCATCGAGTCATTACTGTGGCACCAAATATTTAAAAAATATATTCGTGTGTCATGTCTCAATTAATCCCCTCTCTGAGAACTGTGACTACTCTTAATCTTAACTTGGATCCCAGTATACATAGTGCAGGGATGCTTTAAAATGTCCATTTCCTGAATATACAATGGCATCACAGTAATTAACAATAGGGAATTGACAAGGGTTGTTTTGTGGTAGAGGATTAACCTTGCCCCCCAAAAAAGGGTTGAGCCTTGGCCTCTAGCTCCTGGAGTTCATTACTAAGCCCTTGGGCTTTCCTGGCTGAAAGAAGGGCTTTTTTTTCATTGGGATCTTTGGGCCATTCCACACTGTCTGTGCTAACATTGTTATTTATGATTGGGGCCTTGGAACATAAGGTATCAGCTCAGCCTCTGGAGGGATTAGAGAATAATGTCATCAACATGGCTGACCCTCAGTATAAGCTCTGTACACCTTGGTGAGCTGGAGTGAGGTTCCCTGGTTGGCAATCCTCAGTGCACATGGTCATACATCATTGCTGGGAAAATAGGTGCTATCTCTGTGACCCCACTGGGGGAGGGCAATTGAGAGTTCTATGCCTGGTGTCTCCTGGACCCTGGCTCTTCCCTTTGCTGATTTTATATTATTTTATTTCATTTTCTATATCATTTATTTATTAGGTTGTTGGGAAAGTCATGTCGTATTTTTCTGTTTTTCTACACAAAAATATGTCATGACTTTCCTGACAACTCAATAATTAGGTTATTGGCGAGAAATTTAGAACACAAATTTCTGAGGATAAACTCTGTTTGTAAGGGCAAACACAGATTGCAGGTAGCCCTGGAGCTGAGGAATAGCTTTGGTAAAAATTTTTTGGTAAAATTTGCAAGTCCACCATTTTCTGATCAACCTTACCCTGCTCTGTAATCTCGTATTTCTTTTTCTCTGTGTTGAAGATCTCATATTCTTGGTGTCAGGACTTCTGTAGCTTTTTTTTCCCTTGAAGAAAGCATCAGTAAGGTGTTTTGGGATTTTTACTTTGTTAATATCAATTTTTGTGGAGGTGGCAATGACAAATTTCTGATGTGTTCTACATAGTGGAACACAATTGATAACCAGAGGTCCAGTTACAGTAGCTAGCCACTGCTCAGCTGCTTCAACCACTCTCTTGCCTCTGTGACGTCCAGTGAGGATGGTCAGTGTCCCAGGAGAGATGCTGGCTCGCAGCTCTCTCATATGCTGACTGAAGGTTGTTTTGTTTTTGCCATGGCTCAACAACTTTTGAGGCACATCTTCAGTAGGATAATATTTAGGCATTTTGCAAAGTTTAACCACTAAGGTACCATCATTATTTTCCCCATCAATTGATATGTGACAGTGGCAAGAACCTTCTTTTTCTTTTCAATCCTGGATTCAGTGGCCAAATATTTCCTCTTGTACATGACCTTCCTGAAATACATGGCAGATTGGGAGTATCTGCTAATTCACTGGACTAGGACCAGATTTCTGCTGCAATGGGGCTTCCCCTTCTTGGGCTTTTTAGCCTTGGGGTTACCCTTTTTAACCTTGCCACTGGCTTCAGGTTTCTTCTCCTTAGTATCCAGCTTCTCAGCTCTTTCACTCACCATCTTGTATAATGGAAAAGAGCCCTTCACTGATTTTAATCTATATCTTTTTGCTGTAATAAGTTGTAACCATGAGCATAATGGTTTTTCTGAGTTCTGTGAGTCCTTCTAGAGAATAAACCTGAGAATAGCTTTGGGAGCTTTCTAAATTTACAGTCACCCAAGTAATCATAATGGTGCCTAGAGCCAGCCCAACCAACAGTACAGTCCCCTGAAACCCCGCCCAGATCACTCAACCTCTGCACTGGTGGGCTTGAAGCCATGACTCAGATGAGAACTGCAGGACAGAGATGATAAGTTTGGGCATCAACATGGTCAGTGGACTGGTACAAGTGTCTGGGACCAGGATTACATAGTATATGTGCAGACTTCAAAAAGTTTGTGGAAAATTAAATTAAAATCTGTTATTTTGGTGCAAAGATTTTTTTAACTCCATGCAGTTTTTTCTATAGTATGAATTTCCCATGAACTTTTTAAAGACCCTGAATGTGTGGGAACAGAGGAAATGGATGGGAACTGATTCAGGGGACAGACTAGAGAAGCTAGGGTACACAGAGTGACTCTGTGGTCAGACGTGGTGAGGAAGAGAGTGGATCAGGTTAAGCCCCTGACCTGAAACTTTTGGAGGCTCTGGTTTTCCTGTGTGCCCTAGTTCTCAGGAACTAAAAATTCCTGCCCCTGGAGGTCATGAGCTATGGAGCAGACTCCACAGGCCAGAGCTTACTTAATTTTAAAAAGAGGTATGCCCTCTTTTTTGCTGTACTATTTATCTGCCCTTGACTAAGGTTTATAACACATACCCAGACTCAGGCAAAAAGCTGGTATGGACAGCAGGGATGAGAACAGAACAGCTTTCTCTTCAGCATGCATGGAATCTGAGGTGGGTGTTCCCTTGTTGCTCCCTCAGAACAGTCTTCTGACACCTGGTGGTTAAGGCAACTGGATCCCACATGGCTGAACATGCATTTCTAGTCCCAGACCTGCAGTTTGAGAAACATGCCAGACATGCCTGCGTGTGTGTCCAAAATTACAAATGGGGGCAAAAATAGAGGAGGGATTGCAGCATGACCATATCCCATGTGGGATGCTTTCTTCTCTCTCTGTCTCTCCAGTAAGCGTATGTGCTCTCTGACAAATTAAAAAAAAAAAAAAAAAAAAGAAGTGGTCCCTTATCAAAACCATATCCTTCATACACCTGAAATTCCACTAATTAGAAATTCATTTAAGTTAGCCTGCCATCACCTAAAATGAATGAAGAGAAATGGTCATTCACAACTTAATGTAGATTCAATAAATCAGATTGCGTTCCTAACTCTGACATTACCTGCAGTAGAGGAAAGGATCACTGGCATGTGGAAGTCAGAGAGAAGTCATTCTAAAGTGTGGGGTCCTCCTGGATAGAGTAGACGGGATCCTTGTGATCGAGGCAGGGGTTGGACACAGGGATTATTGAGAACACTATTCTGCTGCAGTGGAGCCCAGAAAAAGAGGCAGGATGGCATCCAAACAAAATTTCACAATAGATCCGTGACCACTTCCTCCCAAGACCAAGTTTTGTTCATTTATTCTCAAATTTCACCCTTCTCCTCAGCCTTCCACTTGTTCTGCATGGAGATTTCAGGAGAGAAGTGTTGATCTGGTTTGCTGAGGGTCTCACAGGACACTGGAAATGCTTTTTCTAGACAGAGCTAGGGATAAAAGTGCCAGGAAACAGAAGTGGGTCTGTGGGGTAAGCAAGGTTGAAGGAGGGAGAAGGGCAGAAATGCATAATGCCATGTGTAGAATGAACATGACTTCAAGGAGTTCTCTGAAGTAAAGACTATTTGTTCCTTTCCACAGCATCTGTCACTGAGAGGGAATTCAATATTTAATGAATGATTGAATGAATCATCTTTCCTAGAATTGCAAAACCATGTGGGTTGCCAGGTGCACACAGGCCAAATCACTTCCTATCTGAGTTTTTTTCCTAGGTAGGCACTTAATCTAGTTGTATGGGTTCACAGATTCTTTTGTTCTTAATTTCTTGTCTCCTTTCCACAATGCCTCTAAACTTGTCCTTCATTTCCCCCTACCCCTCCACAACTGAATCCTAGACTTCACGGGAGTCTCAGAGTATCTGAGAGAGTCTTTTTTTCATAAGAGGAGAGTTCTTGTGAACCAGTTCACACCCAAGAACAGAAGACAGTTCCAGAGAGATGTGAAGAGTGACAAAGAGCCCAGGATGAATAAGGAACACACCCATGAGGTCTGGGGTAAGGGCAGCAGGGAGGCTCCTGGACTCCTTTGAGGAAGTAGGTGCTGCTCATGCTGGTTCAGGAGCTGCTGCTGCTACTAATAAGGGGAGCATGGTCAACAGGTCTATGTGCCAGCAGCTGGCCAGGCCCTACAGATGTCCATGCCCTTTCCTAAGCACAGCTTTGGAGCCCCTAGGAAAACACTGACCAATAAATTAAGTTGAAAAATATGTAGGAGGCAGGGAATATCATCCTGGAGTATTTATCAATGGCGTGAGTATTCTGGAAGATACGAAGACCCATCTGGCCCTTCAGAAGCCCCTTCTTCCTGGAGGCATTGGCTTCATTGCTCAGGGCCAGGTGGACCACTATTTTGTCTTGCCTTTCTTCTTCTGTCAAAATATGGCTTCTTGGGTACCCAGCCAGACTGTTGGCCTCAGATTCACTGTAGCTTCCATCCAGCATCATAGTTTTTGAGTGAAGCATTCCACACATGCATGGGATCTACGAGCAGCAAACACAGAGGGCATGGTTAAGGGGTGTGGAAGTTTGTCAGAATAAAAACGGACTCATTTGCATCAACCCTAACTAAATCAAGTCAGGGAAGGCTGTGGAGGAGTTGTTTTCTCATGCTAGCATATCTGACAACAAGAATTGTTATTTAAATAACTGTCAGGGGACCAGTAGGTGCATGGTGGTTAAGGCACTGGACACTCCCACATGGCAGATCACCGTTCAAGCCCCAGACCTGGTGGCTTGCTTTCTCTCTTTCTCTTTCTCTAATCAAATTAAAATGAATGAACAAATTAAATAAATAAATAAATAACTCTGTCAGAACCACAACCTTGCACAAAGACCACTGTAACCTATCACGACGACTACTTTTGCAAGGACATCTGCACAAAGACTACCATGTCCAACCTTGGACTGAGGCCACCCTTGTTATTGATCCTGAGAGTCAGGTTTTTTTCTTTCCCTCACCCCTCCCACTTGCGTTTTTTTTGCCTTTAAAGCCTCCTTGAACATTGCATTTGATAGTAGGTGGACGAATATGGAAGATTTACTGCTGAGTGAAGCAAGCAAGGCTATGAAAGATAGTGTATGTCTCCACTTATATATACTGACTGCATTCTATGGTGGAAACTGAAAGATTAGAGGATATAGAAGCATAAAAAATGTTTATGGATACTGGAGACAGTGTGGGAAGAGGGTAGGAGAAGAGGAAGTGTGTGAGGAATGCAAGGTGAAAAATAGAAAGGCAAGACATTTATGGGACACAGAAATAGATGATTATCTGTTGATCATGTGTACAGTATCCTCAACTGGACTGATATGAAGTATATTCAGGTTGGGTAAATTCCCTTTACAAACTAAGTGATGTATAGTGATTGAATGTATAAAATATATTAAAATATAAATTTTTAAAATTAAAAATAAAAAGGGACCAGCAGTTAATGTAATGGCTATGTCGCTGAACTCCCATGTAGTCGACTGTGGTTCGAGTCCTGGACCTGGTAGCTTAAATTCATGCTGGGCGCATGTGCATGTGTGCCCAAGATCCCAAGAAGAGAATGGAAGAGAAGGGATTGT